TTTTCTAATAAATACTTTTCCATTTTAGGTTCACTTTTGTATCTTATCTAATGTTTTAAGGATGATTTACTTATACATGGAGGTGGAAATTCCAGAGATTAAAAATGCTTCATTTTTCCCTACAAAGCATTGTTATACCAACTTATGTTATCTTTTTTCTTTTTTAATGTTTTTTTCTTTGAAGCCATTAAGCCATTTTGTACAATATTCATTGTTAAAAATCATTTGTAAATCGAAAATTTAAAGTGGATCAATATGTTGAAGCCATTTCCAACTCAGTTTTTCTTTAAGCGTAAAGAGAGCCCTAAATAATAATCTTGGCCAGCGGTGTTCCTCCATATTTTTTAGTCTATAGAAGTAAGTTAATAATCTTTCTGATTGAATAGATTCAATTTTTTGCCAGCCAATTTCACCATATAAAGCTCCCTTTGCGACATATCTGGGTGCTTTTAATAGGTATCTGGCCATTTTGTATTGTGCATTTTTAAAACCATATACTACTTGCATAATTTATAGTTGGTACTCCAATCGCTTTCCAAAGAATATCCCTATAATATATTCTGTTAAAATCTTCCTGTCCAATAATAATAGATTTTATATACGATATTACTCTATTTCCCTTTTTAAAATATTTCATCTATGTGACAGGTATCTTTTATTTTTCTAGATATAAACATTCCCAAATATTTATAATTATTTGCTTCATTAATGAAATTATTAACAATTAGCCATTTCCTAAACATTAAAGCTTTTCCCAGTTACAATGACATTGGACTTATCAAAATTTAAAATTATTTTCCATTTTGTAACAAAATCATTTGCCGTATTCAAAATTAATTCTAAATCTTGCTCACTATCTCCAATTAAAATAATATCGTCTGCCCAGAATAAACTGCCGATTTTTACATCAAAATATTTATACTTAAACCTCTTTCTTAATAATCTTATTGAGCTCATTAATATATATGGTTAATAGGATTGAAGATAGTGGGCAACCCTGCTTTACACCTTCGTCAATATTAAAAACATCTGTTTCATGGTCTCCAAATGAAACCTTTCCCTTTACATCTTTATATAAGTTTTTAATAATGTTCAATAGTTTACCTTTAATGCCTATACAGTATTGTTCATTGCATAAAAGAGACCTTCTCCAAATGGTGTCAAAAGCCTTTACAAATCCATAGAAGCAAGGTATGTTTTTGTTTATTTTCCGCTTGTCTACAAGCAATAATAATTTTAAGTATAAACATGCCTTTTGTCAAACAAAAGACAAACACCTTTTGTCTTTGCGGAATCCTCCTTGTAATTCTGATAGTAAATCATTTTCTTCAAGAAAGTTTGACATCGTTTGGGAGATAAGTTTATTATATACCTTTGATACTGAAGAGGTTAGAATTATACCCCTAGCTGTAGTTATTTAAATCTCTACAGTCACCTTTTTATATATTGGAATGATTTTTCCAATACTCCATTCATTGGGTATTGTTTCCAAGATTGATAATCTTATAATTTATATAAGGAAAATGTAATTTCATCACTGTCATTTTTCATTATTTCGTTTGTAATACAATCTAAACCAGGGCTCTTGTTATTTTTACAGTTAAGTACAGCATTTTTTATATCTTCACAGGAAAATACAAAGTCTTCTATTAAAGATGCATTTATATTGATATTAGAGTTATTATTAAATTCTGAATCGTCGTAACTAAAATTCTCACTAGTGTTACAATTATGATTGTTAATATTATTATTATACATAATGTGTGTTAAGCGAGTGTGGGGAAACTTAGAACAAGCTGCAGAATACTGGAATGAATGAATGTTTATTAAAATGTAGCCAAAGTGGAACCGTGGAAAAGATTGAAAAAAAATTGTCTTCACCGAGATTTCAACCCGGTAACTTTTATATTCTTCTTGAACATCAATTGCTTTGAATTTTCGCCACTTATATGATAATTAGAATGACTTTGACCTAAATAATACTCAGTTGTCACGACGTCTATCTGAGCAAAGGAATAATTGTTTTCTAAATCCAGAAAAAAAAAATGTAACGCAACGTATATAGTTTCTGGAATATTAAATAAGATATGGGAGTGAAGATAAAAACAATTACCCCAGCCTTATGACACTTGTTAAACTGAGTTGAATAAGTACTTTAAAACGTAAAATTACAATATTTGATTATAATATAAAACGTCTTGATCTAAATAAAAACCTTTATTTCTTTTGAAAAAAATGTATTATTACTATTAAGCTTTTCAACATCTTGGATTATGACTGTTAACACATATGCAACGGTGCATAGATATAAATATCATTTCCATAAATAATGGTGTACTTGGTGTAATTTATGTTTACAGATTACTTGCTTGCACCACACCAGCAACTTAAAAAAAATTTAATCAACTAAAAATGGATGTATTGTGCTTACTTATTTAAAAAATATGGAAAAATTAAATAATCTGCAAAGAAGCACTATTTACACCTACCGTACTTTTACTAAGATAGCCACTATTGTAGCTGTGGTTAGATACTAACAGAAGGGTTTTCTGAGGGTTTCTCAATAATCCATGAAACAACTTAAGCCTGTCCACAGTACCAAATTTGATTTGACAATTCCTAATTATGGTCGCTCGCACTTAGCAAAACTATATATATATTTTTAATTAATGTTTAAAGTTTACCATGTTAATAGAATTGTTTTATGTTGCACTATATATCGTAGTGCTTAACGCTGATGAGTCTTGAATTGGCTTTTCCAGCGTTTTGTTCAGATTTTGTGTAACACGAACCTCTGGTGCTGGCCATACCGATCCACAACCAACAACCGATCTTTACAGCAGTAACCAATTTAAACAATTTGCAGATTAGAAATAGACCTAGGGCCTATAAAAAAAATTTAAAAAAAAATATCCTCTGGTTGCAATAATAAAAAATAGTTTGAAATCCCTATACTGAACTTAGGCCTATCTAACAGAGGTGAACATTTTTTATCGCCAGCGTCAAAATGAGTCGTATTTTCAATAAAACATTATTCTTTCTTCTAAGAGCTTAAGCACTAATTCATAATGTTCACTATTTTCAACTTACCATTGCATCAAAGCTGCTATTAGACTGTATAGTACTTTTCTTCGTTTCCATAATTCTATGATCGCTAGGCAAGAGAAATACCCTGAATACTCGAATCAACAAGTTGTTTAAAGCCGGTCAATTAATGACAGCTAACCACAGCGTTCAGTCGGAGCAAAATACGCTTGATATAACAGTTCAATCGATATTATCTGAGAGATTCACTTGTTGATCGTAGATTCGATGATTGCTTCAAAATTTCTAGTCACAGATGTTGAAGGAGGCAATTGCTTCTCAGCAGGAAAACACCTATTGAATCGTGTCACCAGGTTCCTCGCTACTTTTATACACAAAATTATAAATTGTTTTACTCTGTACTTTTTACGGACGATTTTGATTGGTTAATATAGATCACTAATTTACACGTGACGTCACATGGATCTGACAAGTTTTGATTTCTTCATTTACTCGAGAAAGCCGGAACCGAAATGCAATCATGATTGATTTTTGTTTTAAAGCATCGCTCTGGCAACGTGTTGTAAACTCAGAGTTAGGGCACACATTCTTCTAACAATTAGTGCTTAATTAAGTTTACGGATCTGAATACTGAATGAAGGCGATATTCATCTTATCACCCTTAGGTATGTGGTGGGCAGAGTGTCATTTTATTTAACATTTGTCGACACCCTAAACAAGTTTGAATATTCGTAATTCATTTTCCGATATCAGACATATTGTAGCCTACAATAAGGTAAAGGTAATTTATATTAATATTCAACAATCCTAAATAAACCATGGGGAAAAGATTAATAAAAATCCTTTTGATGCCCTGAAATTGTCTATAGGTCTTTATTCACCATTTTTTGACAATGTTATACAACCGTACAACCATTTATAATATCAAAATTTGAAAAGGGTAAGAAATCACAAAATAAAGACGATATTAAGAGACATAAAGAACGCATATGGACTTTATAATATATATATGTATATATATACATATATATATATATGGACCTTATAATATATATATATATATATATATATATAGACAGTATATATATAGCAGTCATTGTTGGTGCATTTCTAACAAACATTAGGCTTCATTACGGATCACCTCACTGTACTTTAAAATCAATGAGAACCAACAAAACATTATTATTATTATCATCATTATTATTAGAATCAGTGAAGATTATAGAAAATTCACCATTCTCAATTAAAACCAAATAATATTTATATCTTTAAAGTACCAGTAATTTAAAGTTACCATTAATGATATGTAGTCAATACTGTATTTCACATAAATCAGTCACTGTACAAGTGTTTAAATCGGCACAAAGTTATAAATATGTTTTAGATGTCAAATTTTAAAAGCAATTGCGAGGGGGCGCCCTATAGGCGAGCAGATCAGAGCCGTAGATAGAGAGAGTTTGGCCAACTTGGCGCATGGGCGCCATGTTGTCACCAAACAGCGTGCGCGCGTATAGCTTTATAACATTTTATAAAACACTGATTCTGCATAAACTTTCTTTCATTATTCTGTTCATGAGGACAA